TAAACATGAATTAGATCAGCAGGTTCTTCAAATACGTGGAGTCCACTTTCAAGATGATAAAACTTACGGCCATGCAATCAACACAATGATTTGATTCTCGGAAGACACGCTATGTCCTACATTGCTAATCTCGTTGCATATACTCTTAGCACTTCAAACTTGAGGCACAAAATTAGCTTTTACAACGCAGAAACAATGACACAATTGAGCCGTTATAGGAAGGCTCCACAAGAAAGGAGGCAAGTCTCAATCAAGACAATACATGGAAGGTGAGTCCATTGTGACACATATTACACACTAACGAACCGGATTGGATGGACGATCCAACCACCCCATGCCAACTTCAATTAACAAACAAAATTCCAGTGAAGTGGACGCCAAGAAACTTAACTAAGCCCATGATTTTTATTAACAAAGCAAATTATTGGCAACGACCTTGTCAATACCTGTTTTAAAAGGAGATCATTGTCGCTGCCTCAATCAATTCTGTTCTTGAAACCGGCTAGGGATGGAAAGAGAACAGGGAGGTGTAGTTGTCATGGGGCGGGCGGAGATTGACACAAGAGCACCATTCCGGTCGGTTAAGGAGGCGGTCATGTTGTTTGGGGAGAAAGTCTTAGTTGAAGAAATATATGCTAACAGACTCAAGGAGGTTCCCCTCTTCTCTCTTTTCTTTATATATGCAATCCATTTTGTGCATATCTCTTATTAACTATTGTACACAATCCTAGTTCTAAATAATTTTTAGCATGTCAAGTTCTAGTTCATTGTTTATTGTTTTCAACAACCTTTTTCTGTGTTAGTCTAATTAATGGTTATCGTACAAAATTTTGTGGTTAAGGTAAATTTTTACTTTCTTTACGTATAGATGAGAGCTGAAGCAAGTGGAAAGGGAATTGGACAATCAAAAATTGAAGCTCTGACAGCAGAGCTTGAAGAAGCAAAGCAAGGCCTTCACAAGGTGCGAGAAGAAGGTAACTTAATGTCAAATTGCATAAAGACGCTTAGAGAAGAGCTTGAACAAACCAAGAAAGAGTTGCAGCGTCTCAAGACAAGAGAATTTCAGAAACAGCGGATTGATCCTGAAATTGAAGACCTCAAATTCATTGAAAATGCCACTGGAAGAGATAGCAAGGCACAACTTATTGAAGAAGATGGACTAGAAGAGTTTCAGAAGAAAAGATATGTGAAATTTGCGCCAACTCCTACACTGACTCGGGTTATTGTCAGCAGAGAAGAGATGTTAGAGACACCACCTTCTGCTAAGAAAAATAGAAGAAAGTCATTGATACCTATCATAGGATGGATGTTCTCAAAGAAAAAGGGAAGTCAACAAAATGAGTCACTTAGACCCTTCTGAGCTAAGCACATGCAATATCTGTATGATCTGTGTATGCATACTTCATTTGCTTTACATTGTCATGGCCACAAAAGTAGTGCATTTTTTCTACTAAAAAATCTATCCCCATAAATAAATTCCCAATACATTCATAACTTGTTTTGTTCCGGTTCATGAATTGATTTGAGAATATGGAAGAATAGTTCCCACGTCTTATTCAGATAGCTAAAAAGGATAAGTTATTGTCGATTTTGAGTGGCTGAATCGAAAATATATTTCATGACGAGACATGAAACTACTGCAATATTGAAATTATGCAGTCTTGCACATGTAGCCATGTGAAAGCTCCATACTCCACCTAACATTGCTAAGCTATCTGATCTTCTCTCCAGCCATAAATCCAAGCAGAAGCTAGCTGAGCTGACCTCTAAGGGTGCATTTGGATTGCAGTTAAAAGTTTTTTGGTGTAG